GTCTGCGTCCTTGGCTCGCAACCTAGGGACTTGGGTGCAGTTCCCGGGAGGGACAGAAACGACTGGGTACTTTTCTTTTCACCTCGTGCCTCTGTTCAGTAAGTAGTAAAATAGGTACCCGGAGTTAGACAACTGTTGAGTGTTGTATACCGGAGAGGGTCAACAGTTGACCGATAAGGGACCTCGATAAGCCTACGTAAAGGTTAGCCGTTCCCTGCAGGTCCATCTACATGTACCAGCGTTCACATCTACCGACCCACTCGTCTCTCTCCCTCTCTGTTAACTTAACTGTTGCCTGATAACTGCTTTGTGGAAGGGGCTGAGGGATGAAACATTGATTATGGTCACCCTCAGCCGCCAACCTTACCTACTTTGTGTAGCGTCGGAGGATCAACGGCCCCGCGACCCGGTCTTCGACCAGGCCTCCCGGCATGTGTTCGTTCATATAGTGTGAGGACGGGTGGGCAACACGAGAGGGAATACACAGGGAGGTGGGGTCATTCAGTGACTGGTGAGCAGGTTCACAGCTCTCTGTCTTCTGCCTGACTTTGTAAGACTACAGTGCTGCTGTTGAGTCACTGGAGATCACAGCCTCCCCTTCTGCTTCCGGCTGGGTGACTTACTGTCATAACAGTGGCAGTGAACTCTGCTTGTGTTGAGGCACAAATGCCTTTTCCTCATTTTGTTCAAACCAATATAGCTAATAACTGTGTGTATTGCACCGGCCAGGCCAGTATTAAGGTTAACACGTCCATCAGTGTAGCTTTGACCTAATTAATTTCCTGTTTCTATATTCATTGCCTCAAGATAAGTCTCCTTTATTCTGGTCACAAGCGGAACATTTCCGGTGTCATGTATTTATCATAAACTTCGACAGTCACCCGGCAGGGAGGTGACACCCCCTACAGGCATGAGCAGACGAGCACGTGGAGGTCTTCCACGTACTTCACTGATCAGATTTCAATATAGCAATATAATAAAGATTCGAAGCAATAAAAACTAGGATCTTGATGCATATTTGATGTTTTGGAAGGTTTTGGAGTCCTGAAAGTACTGTTGTCATGGCTTCATTTAGCAAGCTTTAGAGCTGTTTTTTTTTAATATCGCTTGATGAGCCGATGTAATGTTTACTTCATATCCGTTTAGGGGACTGCCAAGACGCGCGTTAAAAGGTTCGTTCAGAATTGTCACACTATTGGCCCGTGTTTATGGCTTCCCCTTCAAGAACAAGACGGATGAAAGAACGTGAAGCAGAACAGTGCCAAGGTTGCCCTCGAGCTGGGGGTGGATCTTATCAGTGCTGGGTGCACGGGTCCTGGGATACATACACACACGCCTCCCTAGGACACACGCCTCTGGGAGGAGTGTCCCGGATAGTACTGTATAAAAAAAATACTATTCTCGGATGTACTGGGATTGAGCACACTAACCGCCCCCTCCCCCTACACAGTACACACCCGCGGGTGCACTGGAGCACAGTACACTGACCTCCACAGTACCATTTATATTAAAATGTAAACGTGTTACGGCCGTTAACTATGCAGGAGCTGGGGTGTGGCGCAACGCGCGACCCTCTTCCCCTGCACCGCCAGAACTGGCGCCGGTGTGCGGGGGTCTGGGCGACTGGCGCCGGTGTGCGGGGGTCTGGGCGACTGGCGCCGGTGTGCAGGGGTCTGGGTGACTGGCGCCGGTGTGCGGGGGTCTGGGCGACTGGCGCCCGTGTGCGGGTCTGGGCGACTGGCGCCGGTGTGCGGGGGGTCTGGGCGACTGGCGCCGGTGTGCCGGGGTCTGGGCGACTGGCGCCGGTGTGCGGGGGGTCTGGGCGACTGGCGCCCGTGTGCGGGTCTGGGCGACGCACATAGTGTGGACGGGAGGAGGAGGAGGAGACCAGAACAGTCACAACATCCGTTAGACTCTTTGCATTCCTTCACAGGTGTCGTCTCGCAGCATTCCTTCACACGTGTTAGACTTGGTGTGTAAATACCCACAGGGAGAGAACGGCGTGTTCACACTGAACAAAGGAGGTGCAGGTATAGTGTTATTACAGCGAGGGAGAGCCCGTACGAGAGAGAACTATCAAGCGATAATCAGGAACAAGGTAAAGGAAAAAAGAAGATTCGTAGCGCGTAATGATTGGAGGCGAGGCTTCCCATACAGCACGCTGGCTCGTATTCCCGAACCTGTGAGTGGTTGCCGGCAACCAATAAACTGTTCATATCTCCGGCGTACGTGTTCTTCACCCAAGTTCTTTGTATGGGTTTACCATACTGACGAAGCGTAGGTTAGAGCCGAGGAAGCAACTGAGGTGGATGTTATTGATGAAGGGAGTGGTGGTGGTGGTGGTGTGTGTTGGTGGGGGAGGTGTTGAGGACTGGGCGGTGGTGCGGGTGAAGGCTGGAGTGTTGGTCAGTATAGTGTTGTTGAAGGCAGCGGGCGACACACACACACTCACGGGTGTCACCACCACCTCCCTACACATTATGTACGCACTCACACCTCCCTACACTGTGTGTACGCATCCTCGCCTCCCAAACACTGCGTACGCTACCACACCTCCTCACATTAACGTACAAATACTGAACATTTGTGTGCAGCAAATACACCGCATTCTTTGACTACCGACGGCAGTGGATCTTAAGTTCAAGTGCTTGTGGATACAACTGGCAAACAACGGATAATTCTGCTTCGCGTCACTGTGGGAACAATGTAAAGTGTACGTGTTGTGTGAAACTTGTGTTGTGTGTAACTTGTGTTGTGGGAGGCTGTAGAGGCTAATTAATGGTGTATTAGAAATAATTAAGTTCACATTCAACTGCCCAGTATAACCCTGATTAACTCGTTTGTGGTATGTCGTAAGTATAGAGTACAGTGTGGTGTGTGTGGTGGTAGAGTACAGTGTTATCACCCCTACACTCCACGTGTTGTGGAGAAGACCCTCCACCAGCAGACTTACACCCAGGTCCTCAGTTACTGGTGTAATGCTGCGCCTCATTTATAAGAGACACGCGCAGGAAATTTATTTTGTTCCGGGTTAGTGCATCAGCGGTGTCCGAATGTGGGTCGTCACCTGTTGCAGGGGACAGGGAAGGGGGGGAGACTGCTCGCGGGGTCACCACTGGGGCTCCAGGATGGACGACACGTGTACTGATTGATTGATGAATGATTGATGAAGATTAAGCCACCCAAAAGGTGGCACGGGCATGAATAGCCCGTAAGTGGTGGCCCTTTTGAGCCATTACCAGTATCAAGAGCTGATACTGGAGAGCTGTGGAGGTGCGACTGCACCCTGCGTGACGGGAGATGTCTCCCGTGCAGGTGTACTCTTAACATTAATATATTATATGTTCCCATTATGGGATGGGTGGCAGCTGTTAAGGAATGTCTGGTGTCATCACACATTGGTATGACATCTGCTACCATAAAGGGCATCCCCGGCCACGTACCAGAGGGGCTACAGCAGTACCCGTGACTACCACAATCATCATTCCACGGTCTTGAGGTCATATTGACCCAAGTGACGTGGGCGGCCATCTCTGAGCCGCATCACATAGTGACGACCATTTTGATAACTAGATTTTTATCTGTCTCAATTGTAACTTTCTTGACCACACGATTCGGTAAGGGATGGGAGTAGAATCATGACGGATGGTAGGCGTCTTTTGTCTTAGGCTGAGGTCAACAAAATATTTACTTCGACGCGAAGTATGCTTTGACGAAAAAAATATGCTTTGAGGTGATCTCAAATATAAACCTAACTTAATGTGTTTTGCCTACTAACAGATGAACACACTGTGATACACATCACTTATCACCGCATATATGATGTCAACCCGCACTGAAAGTTAGAGGTTCTCTACTCTCTACTCCCTGGTGGCGTGGCCGTGCCTTACGGCGTGGCTAATAGGGTGGTGGTAGACCTATTGGTGGTGGGGAGCATGCATGAGGGTGTGGGTGGTGGCGCTGGGCGGGGTGGTGGCGCTGGGCGGGGTGGTGGCGCTGGGCGGGGTGGTGGCGCTGGGCGGGGTGGTGGCGCTGGGCGGGGTGGTGGCGCTGGCGGGGTGGTGGCGCTGGGCGGGGTGGTGGCTCTGGGCTGGGTGGTGGCGTTGGGCGGGGTGGTGGCGTTGGGCGGGGTGGTGGCTCTGGGCTGGGTGGTGGCGCTGAGCGGAGTGAAGGAAGCGGCCATATTGATCAGAACACTATGCATGCTGTATCACCAGCGATCAAGGTGACGGTGGAGCGGCACCGTGAGTGCAGGCGACGGGAGGACGTTCCTGCCGCCACTGGAGACCTCTCGTACAGTCATAATGTGTCTTCATATATATAGATACTGGTTACTTTATTTTCACGAGTCTAGTTCGAGGGGAGAGAAGCATTTGTGATCCCAGCCACCAGCTCGTTAATAATTAATGTGCTTCCACCTGTAGCCCCCCCCCCCACCTCTCGCCTGTAGCCCCGCCCCCTCTCGCCTGTACCTCTCGCCTGTAGCCCCCCCCCCTCTCACCTGTACCTCTCGCCTGTAGCCCCCCCCACCTCTCGCCTGTAGCCCCCCCCCCCCACCTACCTGTAGCCCCCCCCCACCTCTCGCCTGTAGCCCCCCCCCCTACCTTCCACCTGTAGCCCCCCCCTACCTTCCACCTGTAGCCCCCCCTACCTCTCACCTGTAGCCCCCCCCCTACCTTCCACCTGTAGCCTCCACCTCTCACCTGTAACCCCCATATGACAATGCTCATCCTCTTGTTGACAAAATTCTGCTTCCTATATTCCTGGTCACTGTAGGAGCGTGGCGGCCAGCTGCGGCCGATGGAAGAGTCCATCCCTAATTGTCCTCCGAGTACATGATGGGACTGATGTTTGCCTTGCTCTTAAAGCCTTGTTAGCCGTGTGCTCTTCAAGAGGGTGTTGAGTACCACCTGGGATTCCCAGAGAGCAGTTCAAGGACACTAATTTACCGAGAACTGGAACACAAATTTGATATACACACGAGATAACTTGAAATTGTTATCAGATATTCCAACTATCATTTTACCACTCGGGAAGAGCCTCCCCCCCCCCACACACACACACACATATATATATATATATATATATATATATATATATATATATATATATATATATATATATATATATATATATATATATATATATATATATATATATATATATATATATATATATATAATATATATATATATATATATATATATATATATATATATATATATATATACTGTCTCAAGCTGATCTGATCAAATATAAATTCCTCAAAACTATTCGGATACCTTACGCCACTATGCCATTAAATACGAAAGAATAGTTTTAGATGCAATTGTCGGGGCAAAGCACCAAGCCATTAGGACTATATAGCACTGAGAAGGAAGCGGGATAAGGATTTGGGATGGGACGGGGAGGAAGGAATGGTGCCCAACCACTTGGACGGTCGGGGATTGAAGGCCGACCTGCATGAAGCGAGACCGTCTAAGCCCAAGTGGTTGGACGTGTGCTGGCTCAGTGATGTCCAGTAACTTGAGAAGGACGGAGGTTTACCTCGATGTGGTCACTGGTGCTCGCTCACCCTCGCAACCTGAGAGTCGTCCACACGCCCAGCTGCTCACTACACAGTGTGGTTACCTGAGTATTGTAAGGACAGCCAGGTACCAGCCAGGCACCAGCCAGGCACCAGCCAGTAGTGCCTGGCTGTCCTTGCTGGGGATGCGCTACGGCTCTTCGGCTCCTATCTCAACACTTAATCCAGCTGGTAAATAGGATATAGAGCCTCTTGGGCTCTGTCATATCTGCAAATTTGTGACGCAAGATCGGACCTTTTCAAGAAACTTGTGTCGAGTCCTACGTTAGACCATGTGTGTGTGTGTGTGTGTGTGTGTGTGTGTGTGTGTGTGTGTGTGTGTGTGTGTGTGTGTGTGTCAAGGTGTTTGGTATTGAATTTGTACTGATGGCCTCGGTCAACATTCCCACCATGGACGTCAGGCTAATGTTTTGCAGAAAGCGTTTTTTTTTCCCCTTTGTTTACCTGGACTACGTTGGCTACCCTCCTGGTTGACTGTTTTGTTTCATATTATTTTAAACACATTAATATTCCCCCTTTATTACACCCTCGCTTTTTGTTTATACTTCAATCAAATCGCCCCTTACTGTTTATCTTTCTAGATAATGTAGATACAGCTCTCCTGATCTATCTTCGTAAAAAGTCAAATGTGCGGAAAATGAGCCGCCAAACACACGTGTTTCCCGAGACATACATACAGCAGACAACGTCAGCAGCATATGCAAGGCTGGCAGACACGACATACATACAGCAGACAACGTCAGCAGCATATGCAAGGCTGGCAGACACGACATACATACAGCAGACAACGTCAGCAGCATATGCAAGGCTGGCAGACACAAAGACTGATGTACATCACACATGTTAGACCAAACCTAGCATATGGAAGGCTTGCGTGACGTCTGCAGCTCTTCACACACACATGGGAGCCGGGGAAAGCTCAGAGGTATGCCACCAGGCTGCTCCCCAAGCTAAGGAGTAGGAGTTACATGAATAGACTAAAAAAAAAACAGGACCTCACGTCATTGAAGCAGAGAAGAAGCTAAGTTCTTAGCCATAGAAGGACGGAAGAAGCCAAGTTCACCATAGCCCGCGTTACTTGGAACTTATGTTCCGAGGAGCTGAATGTATAACAGCAGCAGCGTCGGAGATATGATGATGCGCAGAATACTGTGGAAACTGGTATCGGGTTGACAGTATACGTTGCGTGACGAGAGAGAAGAACAAGGAAGTGCGTGCGCAAGTTAAAATACCCACGTGAGGGAGGAGTGAAGACACGAGGTGAAGTAGGCAGTGACGTAGTGGACACATCCTCGAGACACCGACGATGTAGGAGGGGCGGGACCCCACATGTTAAACTGAAGCGGCACAAGCACAGTTAGGCCCCAACACGCGAATACCATGTGTTGAGCGCCGGGTGACGCTCTGCTGGAGGTGACGGCGCTCACACGGTGTGGCTCTCACCACAGTCCCTCACGCTACTGCACGGTTCTCATCCGGATCGGCACCTCCCCCACCCTATCCTTCCACCGGCGTGGTTCACGCCCCTCCCCCTCCACCGGCGTGGTTCACGCCCCTCCCCCTCCACCGGCGTGGTTCACGCCCCTCCCCCTCCACCGGCGTGGTTCACGCCCCTCCCCCTCCACCGGCGTGGTTCACGCCCCTCCCCCTCCACCGGCGTGGTTCACGCCCCTCCCCCTCCACCGGCGTGGTTCACGCCCCTCCCCCTCCACCGGCGTGGTTCACGCTCCCTCTCTCCACCGCTGCTCTCCTGTCTTCAGTTATCACCACCAATCTGCAGTATACATTATCTATAAGACTTTGAGAAGACACGCATGGATGTCTAGTGAATATGAGAGGTTATGTGTCTAGTAATAATTATTCTCTCCTAACAAGTGGTCACTCACTCACTCACTCACTCGCTCCTCTCAACGTTTGGTGATGCGAAAATGATGAGGATTAAAATCGAGGAAGAAGCAAGAGGATACGAGTCGATTAAGGCAGCGTCTGGAATGCTCTCGAACGCAGGTTCGAATCCTCGTCACGGCCCTTGTGGATTTGTTCAAGAGGATACGAGATAACCTGAACAAGGGAAGGGAACTATGAGGAGAAAGCGCCAAGCCATTGCGACTATATAGCACTTGGAAGGGGTCAGGATAAGGATTTGGGATGGGACGGGGGGGGGGAAGGAATGGTGCCCAACCACTTGGACGGTCGGGGATTGAACGCCGAACTGCATGAAGCGAGACCGTCGCTCTACCGTCCAGCCCAAGCGGTTGGACAGTAACCAGGACAAACTGAAGGAAAATACGTGGAAATTTGAGTCCACGTAAGTGTTTCCACCCGAGAGTCTCAAATGAGCCACAGACACATTAGAAAGAACTTGTCAGAGTAGTTAACAAATGGAATGCACTACGAAGTGATGTTTTGAAGGCTGACTCCATACGTACACAGTTTGAAATGTAGATGTGACAGAGCCCAGTAGGCTCAAGAACGTGTACACCAGTTGATTGACAATTGAGAGGCGGGACCAGAGAGCCCAAGCTCAACTCCTCGCAAGCCCAAAGAGTACAATTGCGCGCGCGTGTGTACATATTTGAGAGTTAACAAATGCACTACTATGTGTGTGTGTGTGTGTGTGTGTGTCTATGCCTTCAAGTTGGAACTGATAGCTATTGGATCCCCTTTTTTCTAACCTTCTAATTTACTGATTCCAACTACTTTAGTGGGAATCAATACATTAACGCCCCAATACATATGATAGAGGAAGGTCCTCTATCATATCTAGAGTACTACATGTATGTCTTTCCTCTCCCATCGCAGGTGCCGTTCAAGATAGACTTCCTGACCAATGAGGTGGTTGTGAGCGAGATCGAGGTGCTGGTGAACGGGCCTTCAGGTCCCGTCAGAGTGGACCTCGACCTGTCCCCCAGAGGTGGCAAGGGCATCTTCATCCCGGAGGAGGTCGGCATCTACGAGGTAAGTCAACGGCCCTGGAGAGACATTGGTATCAACCTCCGCCATATTGTATACTGATAGCAGCTGTGTACATACGCCACTAGCTCTTGTAATCGAGAGCTATTGGATATCATCCGATTATGAATACATTTATGAATACATTTGCATAAATATTGTGTTATGGTGACTGGTGTGGGTGTGTGAGGAGTGTGGAGGGTGTAGGGTGTGTGTGTGTGACTGTTATTGTTGTGTTGCAGCTACGGGTGATTAACGAAGGGGAGGTGGTGGAAGGCTGCCCCATCACCGTGCGGGCTCTTCCTGACGTCTCCAAGATCATGTTCTCCGGCATCGACCCCTGCGCCCTGGGCTCCATCGTCGAGGTCCTGGTTAGTACCCCTCTCAATACACACGCACACGTACACACTTACACGCACGCGCTTGAGTGCGCACGTGGTGTTGATACCTCCCCACAGCTCTTGCACCCCCCCCCCACAACACTGAACCACCAACACTCTCCCAGACGCTAAACTCGTCGTCAAGGGGAGGAGAAAACCCCGCACAGTACAGAGACAGACACACACACACACACAACTACAGTATCATCGAGCACAATGAAGGAAAGTTTTTAACGTTGCTGCACCTCTTTGTTAATACAATTTAATTCATTAGTAATGCTTTTGCCCCTCACTTCACTGGCCTTATTCTTTTCAATAAACAGACACTTGCCCTGTGTGTAGCAGATCATTATCTGTGCCAGTTTTGTTCTTTTAATTATTATTTCAGTCGATTTGGAATGGTGCAGACTTTGAGTCACAATAACGTGGCTGAAATATGTTGACCAGACCACACACTGGAAAGTGAAGGGACAACGACGCTTCGGTCCGTCCTGGACCATTCTCAAAGAATTGACTTGAGAATGATCCAGGATGGACTGAAACGTCATCGTCCCTTCACTTTCTAGTGTGCGGTCTGGTCAACGATTTGGAATGGTATTTACATATATTTTATGTGCGTTGGTTGACAGATCAACAGTAACGGGGCTGGCGGAGGGGACATCGAGGTGACGGCGTACTCCCCGACCAACCGACCTCTGGTGTGTCCCGTCAAGGTTGAGGACGGAGTGTACGCTGCCACCTTCCAGCCAGACGAGGCCGGCCAGTGGTCTATCGCTGTGTGCTACGACGACGAGCATATCCAGGGCTCCCCCTTCACCTGCCACGTCTACGACCCCAACGGACTCAGGGTAAACACCTTTTCTGTTAAGATGACCGTGTGCGTTGCATCGCCGTGTTCGTTCACCGCCTGTGGTCATCCCAGGCACGGTTGAGGTGCCTCTTGTTACTAGCAGTCACTTGAGCACCACTGACCTTTATTGTCGCTGAGAGAGAGAGAGAGAGAGAGAGAGAGAGAGAGAGAGAGAGAGAGAGAGAGAGAGAGAGAGAGAGAGAGAGAGAGAGGGGAGGGGGAGAGAGGGGGAGAGAGAGAGAGAGAGGGGGGGGGAGAGAGGGGGGGAGACAGAGAGGGGGGAGAGAGAGAGGGGGGGGAGAGGGGGGGGGAGAGAGAGGGGGGAGAGAGAGAGGGGGAGAGAGAGAGGGGGAGAGAGAGGGGGGGGGGGAGGAGAGAGAGAGAGGGGGGGAGGGGGGGGGGAGAGGGGGTGGTAGTTTTCTTGAATGTTTTTCATAAGAGTATTCTATGCAGTCAAGGGGAGATCTTAAATCAATGTCATGTTTAAATAGTATATTTTGTAGGAGTCACAGTACTTGGATGAGGCTTCAGCTTGGCCTGAATTACTACCACTCTAACCACTTGGACTGGACGGTAGAGCGACGGTCTCGCTTCATTCAGGTCGGCGTTCAATCACCCGACCGTCCAAGTGGTTGGGCACCAATTCTTCCCATCCCAATCCCTTATCCTGATCCCTCTCAAATGCGATATAGTCGTAATTGCTTGGCACTTTCCCCGATAGTTCCCTTCCCTTCCAACCCAAAAACTTGAGGCGTTACTTGTTTTGTAGAGAATTGGTTGGGTCTTGGTAAGCGGCTGAGGGTTCACAAGCGACTCTGGCCGTAGTGTGAGGAGGGTGAACATGTCTCATCACTCGCCAAGTTGTTCTCCATGCGTCTGATCACGCTATGCCGCCTAAATGGTTAACAATCCACAAGTGTGTGCGTGTGTGTGTGAACTAGTGTGAGAAAGTGAATGCGTGCATGAACCTCTGGAGCAGTGTCGCACAGCTTAGGGTCCCGCGCCAGCGACCGGTCCCCAGGCGAGACGTGTACCTTCCCCCCCCTCTCCATGATGGTACATAACCCCCCTCCCCCTATAATGGTACATAACCCCCCCCCACCCCCTCTCCATGATGGTACATAACCCCCCCCCTCCCCCTATAATGGTACATAACCCCCCCCCCATCCCCCTATAATGGTACATAACCCCCCCCCCCTATCCCCCTATGATGGTACATAACCCCCCCCCACCCCCTCTCCATGATGGTACATAACCCCCCTCCCCCTATAATGGTACATAACCCCCCCCCTCCCCCCCTATAATGGTACATAACCCCCCTCCCCCTATAATGGTACATAACCCCCCTCCCCCTATAATGGTACATAACCCCCTCCCCCTATAATGGTACATAACCCCCCACCCCCAAAAATGGTACATAACCCCCCCCCCCATCCCCCTATGATGGTACATAGCCACCTTAAATGACGAGGTGAAAAGTTGTTTAATGACGAGACGAGACTTCAAGAAGACTAATAATTTCTGATCTTGGAAGTGCATCAAAGAGAGGGGGGGGGGATCACTAGAGGGGAATTTAAGCTATTCTATTTAGATCTGTCTGTAAATGCATCAAATTCAATAGCAAGATACAATGCGCCAGTGTGTGTGAATTTGTCTTTGTCCACATAGCTATAATTTCATTGGTCCTTCTATTTAATCAAACATGCCAGAGCTACTTCCAGCCCCGTTGTATTGGAGCTATGATAACATGTGTTAGTCACGTTATCTTGTTGGTTATCACGAGTGTGTGTGTTTTGTTTGACATGTTTCATTGTCATACTCGGTGATAATCTGAGTATTCTAGGATCTGCTGGTTCCTAGAAGCATTTTATTTTTCTCATTCATTTGAAGATGTTCTTAGAACCTTATATATTTAAGTACATATTCAATAGTGCACGAGTAATGAATGCCTACTACTACTACATATTCAATGTTATTTGTAGAATATTAGTTGTCCAAAAAAGTTAATGTAAGAATCAAAATTTACTATTTTTTTAATTTGATATTTTAACCAAATGTATACATCTGTATTGACATATTTATCTTTCTGTGTAGCTTGATGGACTTGAGAAGGGCCCGGGGTGGAGCGCCGGGAAGCCCTTCACCTTCGTGGTGGACGCCACCAACTGTGGCTGGGGCGACGCTAAGGTGGACGTGACGCAGGGCGGCCGCTCCCTGCAGGCCAGGACGCTCGAGGTGGACCGCGGCCTCTACGAAGTCACCTTCACCCCAACGGAGGCTGCCAAACACAAGATTTATGCCTATTTCAACGGCCACGAAGTGAAAGGTTCGCTCCGGACCAACTGTCTTGGTAGAAGGGTGGGGGGGGGGGACGGAGGACTCTTGCGGTGGTCACCCAGCTTTATTAATCTGGATACCATGATGTTATTACCTTTCTATGTGTTTGTGTAGATGCTTACGGACTGGGTGTTAAGAGGATAGAGGTAGCAACAGTATATAACGAAGGAAGGGTTGACATGCTAGGTTTACGTCAATCCAAACTTAGAGGAAAACTGTGAAATTGATTAAGCATTATAAGAACAGGAGCGAAGAGAATTAAGAGTAGAGAGAGCGTGTGAATGAAGCGAAGCGAGATGAGGTGAGTGAGTGAGGGAGGGAGGGAGGTGTGAACATCGTCTGCAAACATGTTCAAATAATTCTGTGTTCATTCTGGTAGATCGTTTATGTAGACGATGAACATTACTGGTGCAAGAACTGGACCCTATGGTACTCCGCTATTAACACTCCTCCAGTCAGATACATTGTCTTTGATTACTGCCCTCATCTGTCTGTCAGTTAAGAGATTTTCATCCATGTTGGAATTCTCCCTGTCACTCCTCCAGCATGTTCCAGTTCTCAGAACAGCCTCCTGTGTGGGACTGTCAAAAGCCTTTTTTTTTAGGTGTGTGTGTGTACTCACCTAGTTGTACTCACCTAGTTGTGCTTGCGGGGGTTGAGCTCTGGCTCTTTGGTCCCGCCTCTCAACTGTGTGTGTGTGACTTGTAATAAATGAAGACTGGTACTGTGCAAGAAATCACTTTTAATCTAACAGATCAAGATACTTTTTGTATGGAATTCAGGTTTGAAAGAATTAAGGTATCTGAGGTGATTGCATATTTCCCGAGAGAAGAGAATTAAAAGCAATGTGGCGTGGAAGGGGTTTAGTTCAGGAAGTGTGATTATAATATCAGTAAGCAATAGAATCACTGCTAAAGGGGGGGAGGGGATTTGAATGATAGAGAATGGACCGTAGGAAGGATGTAATGGACACCCATAGTGTCTTAAGAGTGAATAGTCTCAGATTGAACGAAATGTGCAGTGGAAGAAGGTTGTCTTGTTGAAACATTTCTTAGCCTAGAGTGTTCCTACATACACATGATATTGTGCAAGCGGTGAAAAGAATCGGAATAGTAATCGAAACAAACTTTTTTTGTAATTAATTGTACAACTGGTCACAGTTCGGGCAGTATGTGGACAGACACACGTTAAACCTTCTCTGCGAGGAAAACCAATTCAAGAGGAAATTAAGAAGGTTTTACTGATCACATTATTGTGCTGTACAAGAGTGAATCGTAAATAAATGATGTTGACCCCTTAAATATATAAAAGAACCGGTGAAAAATGATATTTTTTAGAAGTTTAGAGATAGAAAATGTGATGAGTATAATAGATGAGTTGACGATGACAGTGTAGTATTGCTAATCATAGTGTTGTGCAGCACACTGCTACACAACTGTGATTAGCAATACTACATTTTCAGTGATTGTGTTCCATCGAGGAAGAATGAATCATGAGTGTACACAATGTATTGTCATCAGATGCAACACTCCCTCCCCCCCCCTCCCTCATCAGATACATTCAATGATAGTTCAACATTGCTAACTCACTTGCTAAGTTATTAATCCACAGACAAACTGTCTGTGAGTTTGTCATAATATACCGTATAGTCAGTTTGTTATAATATACAACACAAGTCCCTCGCCTCATCCTGACCACTTTGTATCCTCTTCACGCGTGCGCCAAGTGTGTTTCTCCCCGGCTCATAATTACCCCTCTGACTCCCTCTGGCTAACCGTGTCTTCCCTCTCTCAACAGGCTCACCATTCTCACTGTACCTGGGTATCGAGAAGCCGCCAGAGAGAAAGGATTCAAAGTCTAAAAAGAAAAAGTCGTCGAGCAGAGAAAACAAAGATCCGAAGGTAAGAGGTTGTGTTGCAGGGGGTGGGTATCGCCAGGTCTCGGGGAAGGGGGGAGGGTTTGCCCTGCCCTGCCCTGCCCTGCCCTGCCCTGCCCTGCCCTGCCCTGCCCTGCCCTGCCCTGCCCTGCCCTGCCCTGCCCTGCCCTGCCCTGCCCTGCTGCTCCACGCAACTTGAGTGTGTTTTGATTATATATATATATGTCGTACCTAGTAGCCAGAACTCACTTCTATGCCTACTATGCAAGGCCCGATTTGCCTAATAAGCCAAGTTTTCATGAATTAATTGTTTTTCGACTACCTAACCTACCTAACCTAACCTAACCTAACTTTTTCGGCTACCTAACCGAACCTAACCTATAAAGATAGGTTAGGTTACAACCCGTTCTCGCAAATTCGTAAAGTCAATATTGACTTATTAACTACGTGCATAGGTGATATACTAAACATAATAGATACCCTTAAAAAGATTCATAGAAAACACCGACCTTACCTAACCTTGTTAGTATCTTAAGATAAGCATCTTATTGCTTCGTAATTACAATTATTACTTAACCGATACCTATTATAGGTTAGGTAATAATTGTAATTACGAAGCAATAAGATGCTTATCTTAACATACTAAGTAGGTTAGGTAAGGTCGGTGTTTTCTATGAATCTTTTTAAGGGTATCTATTATGTTAAGTATGTCACCTATGCACATATTTAATAAGTCAATATTGACTTATTAAATTTGCGAGAACGGGTTGCTCCATCTGTGTGAATGCTCTCGCTGAACTCGAGTTCCTTTATATTGACAAAATTAGTTTTCAAAATAGTATTTAACAGGTGACCTTCGCAAGCTCTCCTATTAGATATTGTTTGTAAAATGTATTTTAACCTTTTTAAACAATATTCTTGCACAAATATTGCCACGCTATTTGACATACTGGCTACAGCACCTTGTCCATTTCGTTTCCCCCCCAAAAAATTTCCACAAAATTTAAGTATTATTTGGGCATCTTCACGTGTAACCAACTCTAAACTTACGGTGTACATAAGTTCTTGACAATCACAATTTTGTTCTCTCCCTCAGAACCCCAAGGAGATCGTCAAGGAATACACGGGATCAGCTCTCGTCAACTCTCCCAGGTTGAGCAACCCGGACTCTTCTGATCCGAACTACAAGTCTACGCTCACTAAGACTTACGACTCGACCCTCAACAAATCTTACGATTCGTCTCACAACAAGAGCCATGATACGTCCATTAATAAGAGTTATGAAACGTCCATTAATAAGAGCTATGATTCATCCACTAAGAAGAGGTATGATTCGTCCATCCAAAAGGTTTATGATTCACCTGTCAAGAAGAGCTATGACTCACCCGTCAAGGTCTATGACTCGCCCGTCAAGGTCTATGACTCGCCCGTCAAGGTCTATGACTCGCCCGTCAAGGTCTATGACTCGCCCGTCAAAAAGAGCTATGACTCGCCCGTCAAAAAGAGCTATGACTCGCCCGTCAAAAAGAGCCATGACTCGCCCGTCAAAAAGAGTTACGATACATCTATCAACAAAAATTATGAGTCTGTTCACAACAAGGTGTACGAGTCGACCGTCAACAGGTCTTACGATTCAGATCAGAACAAGAAGTACGACGTAGTGCCTCACAGTACCTATGACTCGCCTGCCGTTAGGTACGAGTCGACCCCCAACAAAACCTATGACTCGTCAGTGACGAAAACCAGCAGCAGCACCTACGATGCCATCGACAATAAGTACGTCAATTTTGAGTCTACATCTGTCGTTAATCGAAGCACCGTCTACGACTCGAGTGAGAGAAACGTTGGTGGTGCTTACGAGTCCAGCCCGCCAAGGGTCACCTATGAGTCCACCCCAAAGAAGACGAGTACTCATGACTCGAGTCCCCCCAGTCCCTCCAGACTGGACTTGAGCCGCAGCAGAAGCCCCTCTGGCTTCAACTCCAGCTTCAATACCTCCTCCTCGACGGTCATCAATACAGGCATCACCACGAAGTCCTCCTCGGTTTTCAAGTCTTCCAGTCCGGGCAGACTGTCCTCGTAAGTCACGTTAAACGCTTGCAGGTATAATTGTAGCCAAAGTTGCAACTCATTCATTAGTAAGACGGCTACAGATATAATTTATTATTATTATTAACCGCATTTCTCACTCGTGGCGAGGCATTATCCCGATTTAAAAGTGGGAATAATTTAGTGGGTCATAGATGCGGCATTTAAAAATAAAGAGGCTATTATAAAATCTTGTATAGCAGAATGGCAAGGTCGCGCCAGCGTCCTGGTCAACCCCAGACACCCCCCAGTACCCTGGGGCGCCCCAAGAGGCCAATTCGATCCTGTTGTCCTGTTCCAAAGCTTTCCCAGAGATAAATAACGTTATTGTGATTTCCTTGTGTAAGAGAGGCTATAGTTTGCCTAAAGGCGGAAGTTCATGTTACAAAAGATGTGTTGCCAGTGTTCCCACTGTAACGGGGAGATACAACCATGATAGTATGAGGTGAATGGCATGTTTATTTTCAGGGAAGTGTGGATGACAATTATGAGTGTATCAGATGTGCGGTCACCATGGCTGTCGCTTCATCCATTTGAGCGGGTACAGATATCGTGATGAAAATGTATATTCAGATATAAATATATCTACTTGGTTAACTGTAGATTCAGGAAAGAAAAGGGTAAATACTGGTTTTCGAAATGGGGGTTGTCGATCTTGGGAATAAATTACCGGGTAATAATATGGATGTAGGATCACCTGATTGTTTTAAGCGTAGGTTAGACTTCTATCAATGCGTTTGGTGGATATAAACAAGAACTGCCTTGTTTGGACCAATAGCTAGACCGCCTTGCTAGTTTCCTTGCCTCTTATTTCTTACATAAATCATTCGCTTTCACTCATTTATTTCTTGTATTAGCACACTGGAACATTTTGTATAAAACATTTTGTACTACGTTATAGGTGGATAATGTAAAAATGTCAAGTTTAGCTGTTCTTTTGATATACACAATAAATTTATCCCGTCATTTGGATGGGCCATCTTTATTAGCGAAAATTATTTTCATGACTCTGAACCAATTTGATTGATTTTCATCTTCATTTAGATCTGTAAACCTAAATACCATCCCGCCCCCACAGTCCTGGAGCACGCAAGTCAGCATCCCCGTCACCGCCCCCTCCCAGGGCCATTAGGGCCACCAGCCCACCCCAAGTGCCACGATCTTCGCCAGTGCGGGCCCTCGGCTCCCCTGCACCACCCCCAGACAACCTCACGGGATTATCTTCCCCCGCTAAGGTCCTCCAAATTGCCCAGAACGCTGCCAAGACTTCTGAAGGTGAGACTCGAGGCAGATCCAGAATAGCGAGTCACGATAACAGGGCTGAAAATTTAACATGACACCCAACCCACACATCTGAAAATACAAGAAATGGTGGAGCTTTGGACCGTCCTTGATAATAATCCAGGACGGACCGAAACTTTTTTATTTTCAGATGTGAGAGTGTGGCGTCATACGGTAGATACTTGAGTAGTTCTTAACCTGATTTGGTAACACCGCAACAGTCACGGAAAAGGACATTATTAATCACTGTAAAACTGCTATTGCTTCATGTTGGTTATCTGTGTCTTTGTACATTGTGCTTCTATTGTTTGTACAGTACTATAATGTGTTTTGTGGTGTTTGTGGTAGACGTGAGGTGCTTTGTGGTGGTTGTTCCTGTAATGTTTACTGATGTGTGGCCAGGTGCTCATTGTAATAGTAAAACCTGTACTAGGATTTACCTTCCCGGAATCACAGCAGCATCACAAAGTTGTGTGTGTGTGTGAGAGAGAGAGAGAGAGAGACGTAGACTTCGTACGATACACATCATAATGTACATATTGCTGGTCAATGTAGAGTTGAACGTTACCCAAGATGCTTGGTGTGAGTGGTGTGTGTGTGTGTGTGTGTGTGTGTGTGTGTGTGTGTGTGTGTGTGTGTGTGTGTGTGTGTGTGTGTGTGTACTGATCTACTCATAAAGTACGATTCTATACCCTAAGCTCATCCTCATCACTTCCATCTCATGTTCTTTTGACAGAGACATAAATAGTATATTTTATATATATATATGGCACAATAATTAATACCAATTGAAGATGTCTATCCTAAGATGTGTGGTAGTACGGTAGGGATTACAGAGTACCAATAAGGTGCCCATAGATCACCAGATCACAACCTGTCGTCCACACCCTGTAGCACCTGTACAGCTGCTATGGACGGAAGTACAAAATATCGATTATTCCTTCCCATGAAGAAGACCCATGTTTTGTATTACTAATTATTGATGAGAGAGCAGATGGCAATATTTTGCCGTCGTGCACATATTTTTCCTTGGTCTAGTATAGTATATATTTGTACTAAATTAAGCCTAAGATTACGTATGCTAGGCCTAGGATTACTTTTAGGCCTATGGCAGGGTTGCTTTATAGTTACTATTTCAGATTTTATGCCCTGTGGAATTCAAATTGTATAAAATGTGAACTTTCTTGGAGTACAGCAGTCAGTATTTTGTACCTTCCCTCCATAGTGGGTGTAGGGTCCCTCATTTCTGGATGGGTTGAAAATCATGATGATTTTAATCAGGGTTGACCTGAAGTGTGATGGATCCATGAAATATCATGTCATAAAAGTGTGATTAAACAGGTTTATATTTGCCAGTAAAACAGTCTTAACGTTTTCGAAGCGTTTGTGTGTGTGTGTTAATAGTGAAGAAATATTTTTTTTAATCGTGATACAATTATATGTTCTCTCCGTCTAGATTGGTTTAGTACTCGTCTCTTTGATGTTCCACTTTATCACGCTTCGCCTCTGTGTCATATACCTGGTTACCTGGTTGATGGGGTTCTGGGAGTTCTTCTACTCCCCAAGCCCGGCCCGAGGCCAGGCTCGACTTGTGAGAGTTTGGTCCACCAGGCTGTTGCTTGGAGCGGCCCGCAGGCCCACATACCCACCACAGCCCGGTTGGTCCGGCACTCCTTGGAGGAATAAATCTAGTTTCCTCTTGAAAATGTCCACGGTTGTTCCGGCAATATTTCTTATGCTTGCTGGGAGGACGTTGAACAACCGCGGACCTCTGATGTTTATACAGTGTTCTCTGATTGTGCCTATGGCACCTCTGCTCTTCACTGGTTCTATTCTACATTTTCTTCCATGTCGTTCACTCCAGTACGTTGTTATTTTACTGTGTAGATGACGTTCAAAACTGCTGAAAATCCAGGTGGAGCGGGCGACAGGCAGGTGTTAGGACGTGTCTGTCTGGGGGTCGTCTTGGGACTGTGAACACGCTGCACCGTCTCTTAAGGACAAGTAAGTGCTCTTTTCTGATTACTTACACTTCCAAAAGTATGGAAAATAGCTGTTGATCCCTTCAAACTTGACTTTTGACCTTTGCCTCACACAGCTTAGGGGAGATTTAAGGTACCTGAAGGCTGCCGACTTGCCAAACAATGTCACAACTTTAGGTAAAGGGTTGTCAAGTACCTTCAAGGGTTCTTCCCTAAGCTGTCTTAGGAAAGCTGAAAGCTGTCTTTAAGGTCAAAGCCAAGTTTGAAGGAAATAACAGCCATTTTCTATACTTTGGAGGCCTAAGCAACTGAAAATAACACTTACTACCCAGGAACAACAATTGCTGCATTGAGGATAACAGAGGGTGAATAATTTAGGTAGACACTAAACTAGGCACTATTGCTGGCAGCTCTAGCATCAACATGACCAGAGTTTCTTTCACCCTATGCCCCTGTTACCTAGCAGTAAATAGGTACCTGGGTGTTAGTCAGCTGTCACGGGCTGCTTCCTGGGGTGGAGGCCTGGTCGAGGACCGGGCCGCGGGGACACTAAAGCCCCGAAATCAACTCAAGATAACCTCAAGAGAAGATAACAACAATGGTTACAAATAATATTTTCATGGAATCATCTAAGTGTACTTACTTGGCACTGACCACGGGGAAGGGAATCATCAGGGAGAAAGCGCCAAGTCATTACGACTATATAGCACTGGGAAGGGGTCAGGATAAGGACCTCGGATGAGATGGAGAAAAGGAATGGTGCCCAACCACTTGGACGGTCGGGGATTGAACGCCGATCTGCATGAAGCGAGACCGTAGTTCTACCGTCCAGCCCAAGTGGGGAAGCGAGGTCTAATTCATTGTCCCCCGCCTATTAGCCTTGTACCTGTTGCGTTATAATTAAAGTATTCTGACGATGGAATTGTGTGTACGCTCATGAGGACCAAATTTAGAATATGATGAATTGAAAGTTGCTTTGTTTTGAGTTTTAAATCCATCCCCGGCCTAGTTAATGTGTACTTTACGTGTTCAGCTTATGTAGTTAATGGTGTACTTTACGTGTTTAGCTAATGTAGTGTGTGAACTGTCGCATATTGTTATAGACTCAGCTACTCTGAACAAGTTCCAAGTAGCACGGGCCATGGTGAGCCCATAGTGGACTTGCCAGCCACAAGAGTGGTGCCGTGTGTGAACTGTCGCAGCCTAGAGACGGGTGCTAAATCAAGAGGTGGTGAGCATACCATGGCCAGGAGGCGAGGGGTGAGGTGGGGGGGGGGGGGTTGAGGTCATGGTGTGCCCATGACCAAGGAGAGACTGTGGGGTTGCCATCAGTCGGCTCAGTGATGTGTTTTTCCTCTTGCAGGCTCCTCCTTCTACTATAGCAGCGTTGCCAACATGAAAATATTACCCTCCACCTATTAACGCTGGCCATTAGACTGCACTCATCCCCCTTACTAGAATTAATGTAGCTTTAAGGCACAATTGATGGGATAGATATATATATATACCCATTGTTTACTAGGAACTAGTATCTCGGAATTAACGTAAACTGTAGAACTACTTGTCTTAACTACTCTTTCATTGCAACTTGTACAAGGGGACTAACCCGCAGAAGCACTGGGTTTAGAAGAGACTGACAGGAGTACAGGTCCTGTACTCCTGTCAGTGCTGTTTCTCGAGCCTTTGGATCCATGACACTATAGGTACAGCCAACAGATTAATACAAAGAATAGTCACGGTATTCACAAAATAACCAAAATTTACTGCATGAATTGTGTAAATTGGGAAGATCTTAAGTTCATCATTGGATAGCCACGTTGCAACCCGTAGGGTATGGTTAGTTGAAGGAGACAGACTATCAGGTGGTGGTGAACCGAACCCCAGTGGCGGGGAACGGAACCCAGTGGCGGTGAACCAGACCCCAGTGGCGGGAAACGGAACCCAGTGGCGGTGAACCAGACCCCAGTGGCGGGGAACGGAACCCAGTGGCGGTGAACCAGACCCCAGTGGCGGTGAACCAGACCCCAGTGGCGGGAAACGGAACCCAGTGGCGGTGAACCAGACCCCAGTGGCGGGAAACGGAACCCAGTGGCGGTGAACCAGACCCCAGTGGCGGGAAACGGAACCCAGTGGCGGTGAATCTAATCCTTGCCCAGAATCGTTAGCCTAACACACTTCACCGTCGCCGCCACCCTCGGCTCACCATCACCGCATTTCCTTCAAGAACAAATAGATTTCAATTTGAATGAGTTGCCTCGATAGCAATTGTATCTTCGTAATGTTACGGCTGTATGAATGGTTATCATCAATTCTTGAAATAATGATTTCATTCATATCATCCCTTCATTCTTTTGGTTTCCAGTGTGCTTATTCATACGGCTTCTGCTCATGTTTTAATATCTTTATTAATATGATCTGTTATAATCTTTACTGACCATCACTCGCGGGGATTTTCTTGACCCATTACCCGGTGGGTAGTGGAGGCCACTACCCGTAACTGCACTAATTATCTGCTCCTAACCCTCCTCCAACACCACCTCCAACACCCTCACAACTCCTCCTCACCAGCGAGACGACTAAGGAACCTTCAAGGCTCCTCCAAGCTCAGAACCAGGACCTTAATCATCGACAAAGGTCAGTGTTGCGGTCTTGATGATCGCTGTAGCTCTGATCACAGTGCACAAGCCTAGGGCCAGATTTAAGAAAGCATTTACGCAAGCACTTACGAACGTGTTCATTTTTCCTCAATCTTTGACGGCTTTGATTACATTTATTAAACAGTTTACAAGTATGAAAACTTCTCATTCAACTGTTGTTATTGTTATAAACATCCTTCTGGTTCTTCGGAGCTCATTAACTGTTTAATAATTAGAAACAAAGCCGACAAAGATTGAGAAAAGATGTACAGGTTCGTAAGTGCTTGCGTAAGTGCTTTCGTGAATCTGGGCCCTAGTTACCTACCAGTAAAAAGGTTACTTCTAGTGGCCCTTGTGTCCGTCTTGGAGTAACAACTAGCTTTTAAAAGATCAATTGACAATTCTTTTGCGAGTAGATTTAGCAGTTCTGCAGTGTGAAGATGTTTAGCAGTATGTTAACCTGGAGCTCAAGCCAGGATGGTTGGGAGTTCCCTGACTTGTTCAGTCAGTCGAGGCTTCTTGAGGCTGCAAACCTTTTGGAAGTTAACATATAAGTCACACCTGTTCAGCTTTTATTTTCTTTAAAGTGTGTCCTTTATAAATGGAGACCTTTAAAAGAGAGTTTTAGAATTGGGGGATAAAATAGCACGTCACTGTTCTCTTTTTTCAATATTTGCATCAAATGAGAATTGTCATCTACTGCCATATAAGAGAGCAACGTAAATTATAAAAATGTTTCTAAAGATCTGTTTTGTGGAATTTTATGGTAACGCTCGATGTTTTGAGCCGCAGTGTGTTTAGTTGTTTGTGAATGCGAGCAAGGTTTTTTCTGACCCCAGACGATACCTCTGATGGAGGGGCGTCGGTTGACGAGTCGCCACCCCACCAGCGCCTCTCCTCCGAGCAAAGGTCAACTTTACTCCAGAGTGACGAGCGTTTCTCCGCCTCCACCCGCATGCACCCCGCCCCCACGCCCTCCTCCATGACCGCCAGCATGCACACCACGCCCTCCTCCATCACCACCATCAGGAAGACGGAGGAGAAATTAACCACAACCGGAGGTAAGGCATATGTTGCAACCACACAAGTTGGGGAGTGGACAAACAGCGGCCCATAATGGGCTCAAGAATCGAACACCAAAATTCATTTAGGGAAGGCTGTTTACAGTCTTGCACAGTTTTACACATACCTTGTAAATGGCCCAAAATTCACGGATGGTAAGAAAGGAAAGTGAGGACATTTCAGTGTAGACAAATGGAGGTGCTGAAGGTGGGAAGATAGTGTAGTGGGAAGGGAACTATCAAGAGAAAGCGCCAAGCCATTACTATTATAAAGCCATTGGAAGGGATCAGGATTTGGGATGGGACGGAAGGGGAGGGAATGGTACCCAATCACTTGGACGGGGATTAAACGCCGACCTACAAGAATGGAGACCGTGATTCTACCGTCCATGCCCCAGTGTTTGGTCTGCTCTACCTTCCAGTCCCCAGTGGTTGGTCTGGACCACTGTAAGCTTACCAGAAAGAGCCTAGTTTATATCACAATGTCTGTTACTGTTTGACTGGCTTTATGATCCTTTGTAATATCACACATCTGATTGGCAGAGCATCGTGTGACCTCGAGCGTGGGTGAGAGTGGGGGCAGCGCTCCCCTGGGGCTACCACCAGACGGCAGGAGAGGCGCCAGGCCAGACCACACCCACCCTGCCTTCGACCAGTCCCTCACCATCAGGAGAGACCTCACAGAAACTGGAGAAGTCCTCCTCCACAGAGACGGCGCCCATCCTAGAAGAGACCACTTCCCTACTGGAAGAGACGACGTCCATCTTAGAAGAGACACCGTCCAGAACATGGAATCTACAACATGTAAGTTAACGGTGAACAAATCCACAAGGGCCGTGATGAGGGTTCGAACCGACGTCCGAGAGGATCCCAGACGCGCCTTAATCAACTGTGCTACGACATGGAAAAAGAATTGCAACCGGGAGTTCAACTGCCCTGCCTGTGTCAACCAGGAGGCCTGGCCGACGACCGGGCCGCGGGGACGCTAAGCCCCGGAAGCACCTCAAGGTAGCCCTCACACGGATCCCGCAGTCTCTCGGAGACACAAACTAGGATTTTACATTTGATGCATCACGCTATTGTGTTTCTGTGTGTAAAGAAGGGAGAAGACGTAGGATAGCTTATTGACAGAGCTCGGGTGCATGAGGGGAATTGTGTAAAACCCTGGTTTGTGTCTCGGAGAGGCTGCAGGACCCGTGTGAGGCCAGTTGAACTCCCGGTGGCAATTCATTTCCATGTCGTAGCACAGTTGATTAAGGCGCGTCTGGGATCCTCTTGGACGTAGGTTCGAACCCTCATCACTGCCCTTGTGGATTTGTTCATTTGATGCATCACGCTATTGTGATTTCTATGTGTAAGTTAACGGTGTTTTATTGTTGATATGGTTTCTGTAGCACAGTGGTCTGCGTCCTTGGCTCACGGTCAACCTATCATCTTACAAATTACGTCTGAATTTGGCCGTTTGCCCGTATGGCCAAAAATGGACGTAATTTGAAAATTAAAAAAAAAATTGGGGATTTTTTTTTTCAAAACAGTAAGTTAATGGTCCTCTGGTAGATTAGGAGGGCAGGAAGTTCTCCTAAAGTTTCAAAACGTAATGAAAAACTTTCAATTAAAGTTTCCTCTCCTAACCTAACAAAGTAAGCCGGAGGACTCGAACAGAAAACGGGACAGTACATAACAAAAGTAGATTTCATTTCAAATTAAATCCATTTTTGGTCATAGCGCGCATACAAGCGAAAAGCGACGGTATTTTTAAGAGGACGGGTTGCACAACCAACGGACCTCCAGGCTCAATTTACGGGCAGGACAGAAACAATGGGTACGTTTAACAAACTTCCACCCGGAAGTTGGTCAAATGTTGTGGGTTGCCTCCTGTCAAAGGTTAGTAGTTGGCCTAGGAGGGTGAAGGGGGGGGGGGGCTCCTCGATAGATCCAAGTAGAGGCTTCCTGTCACAGAGACGGGAATGATTTAGGAAGATACTGTGTTGGTAGGGGGCCCAACAACTCGTTGAGGCGGATCACTTACTGGGGGGCCTCTTAGTGTCACGAAGATCCTTCATCACAGTCTTAAAACTTGGCATTTGGTTCATAGGCCTTGACCACCATTAGTGTTGTATCACGGCACACATACACACGTGTGTGTGTGTGTGTGTGTGCGCCGTGTATGTGAAATGTGTGTGCTGTGTGTGTGTGAAATCATATCATGATTTCAATGATATTGAAATCATTATATCAGTGCTTCAGTACCTCGGAATTTCCTGGAATTTAACTGTTAAACTTGACAACAGAGAAACCAATATTTGACCAGACCACACACTAGAAGGTGAAGGGACGACGACGTTTCGGTCCGTCCTGGACCATTCTCAAGTTGATTGTGAGAAGTTACTTCAGCCACGTTATTGTGACTCATCGCCTGCAAACCAGTATTTCTCTGTCGAACTTAGTGAACCATTAATGTAACACTATAGATGAACACTGGGATGCTCTCGGACGTAGGTTCGAATCCTCGTCATGGCCCTTGTGGATTTGTTTACTATAGATGAACTTCACAAGTTTGGGTTCTGGGTTAGTGTTCCCAGCGCGTGTACAGTTGTACTGAAACAGTGTACAGGAAACAAGTGGAAATGGATTTTGTGTTTAATATTTTTAAGGGTTTGAATCAAAGAGATGTATGAAGGTGGATTTCACTTGTGTGATGCCTGATTTTTGTCGACTAATAATTGAAGAGTTTTCTATAATTCGATCCTTAATGGAGCAAATGGCATTTAAAACGCATGCTTAATTACTATACTACATAAAGACATACTCCAATGTGGTCTGACATAGGTTGTAGTGTGTGTGTGTGGATCCTTATACTTACAAATTTACTCCGGGCCTTGCCCCGCAGGAGATTCAGCACCGCTCTTGTGCCAGGTAAGTCCACTACGGGCTCACCATAGCCCGTGCTACTTGCCCCGCTCCTGTGCCAGGTAAGTTACGGGCTCACCATAGCCCGTGCTACTTGGAACTTGTTCCGAGTAGCTAAATCTAAAACAACCACCCCCACCTTGCCCCGGCACCAGACCTGAGCTCCAGCGCCACCTCTGTGGACGTCGTGGACGCCGTCAGCCACCGCCTCCACACCCCTGCTGCCACTCGCCACACCCTCGACCCCTCTAGAGTGTCTGTCAGCGGCCCTGGCGTCAGACTAGTGTCTGTCAGTTCTCAGGCGGAGTTCACCGTGAGCACGCCGCAGCCGCTGCATCAGGAGGAGGTGAACGTCAGGATCACAGGTGAGGAACGTCCAGCCGCTTGTGTTCTTCTGATGCTCCTGCTTGCTATATCAGAGTTCTTTCTTGCCTTGTTAGCATCTTTGGGGATTCTTTCTTAGATGCTCTTATTTACTAGTGTACTGGATACTGGTAGTGTCGAGCCTTACACACGAAAGTTCACGTGGTGAAGGAAGTATTACAAATTTGAAGCATGTTGACCTTGACTTTAGTTAAACCTTATTTGGATATAAAGTTTAATCTGTAGCAAGAATGCACTAGTTAAATTTGTCGGTTATTTTCCACTGTTGCACTTTTATTTGCTATTTGCACGTGAGCACCTTTACTGTAGTTTTTAATTGGGTTCCCCCCCCTCCCCTTGGTGGTGGACGCTCGCCCTCCAGATGTGGAGTACCTGTGGCGCCTGCCATGACCTGACACGACCTGTGGCGCCTGACACGACCTGACACGACCTGTGGCGCCTGACACGACCTGACACGACAGCCTTACCGCGCCACCACACTCGACCATCACTGCTTACCACCCTCACTTCCACCCGCCCCTTTCTCTTGTATCTGTAAATTGTTGTGCGAATATTGCTTATTACTGCACTACGAACTTTGTCTGGGACTTGTATTCGTTTGCGGTGTGGTTTATGGAGGAAAATTGGTGTAAGTAGCAAGTATGTTTTGTACAATATACAGGAGACGTCTACAAAAAGTCGTAAGCAGTGCTCTTCACTGGCGATATTCTCAAGAGTTCAAACTCGGGAAAGGATAATCTATAATGTATCTGATTCTCCTTACACATCTTAAGCTAACTAGCCAATTGGGGTACTGAGAGTAATATTTTGAGAGGGATAATTTAGGCAGCAGTTTCCAGCACTTATCCAGACTTGATTACAGAGCATGAGAGACAGTCATGGAGAGTGGTGACTATGTGCCCCCCCCCCTCCCCTATATCTCTGTCTCTGTGTCTCTGTCTCCCCACCCACCATGAAGTCCCTGTCTAGTGTATAAAACTGTTGTTTAGTCTGATATGTAGATGAAATGTACCTTTATATTCATTTGCATGAAGTAATTTCCTTTAATTTCAGATTGTGTGTGTATATATATATATATATATATATATATATATATATATATATATATATATATATATATATATATATATACATACACACATACATATATAATGTGTGTGTGTAATATAAGAGTAATATAATAATATAATAGTAATGAACCTTATATTAATGGCCAAATATCTACATTCTTAGTCTTGTTTTATTATTATTTGTATAAATTAACTGAGAATGTAAATAAAAGTTAACTTGGTGATTTTATTTTATTTAATATATTTACCAAACTTAGTCAACTCCACTGAGGTCCAATGTCACTTGTGGCAAGTAGCGTGTCCCCTTATGTGTAACTTTCCTACATGTCACACCTTGCCACCTTAGGTACATTACCGTGTGTACTATGTGTACATTGTGACGTCAGTATCACGTGATGTATCCCAGAGACAATCTCCGGTGCAGGACGGGGGATCGAACCGGGCGGATCTAAGGTTGTGTAGGCTTTAGTATTTCATGGTCTATTGGTTAAGGCGCACGTGTTGGGGTTACCCAGATGGCTGGTTCGATCCCCGTTTTGATCCCTGCATATATTATACGTGTTTCTGAATTCTTCTTCACAAGACATTAAGGCTATGCTATTGCCTGTATACATCTAGGCTGTGCAGATCCTTGTACGTGCTCGCATCACATCTTAACCGTACACCACATTCGCCATTAATAACAAAAATGTTGTTCGCCATGTTCTCCCCCCTCCTTCCCCACGCACATCCGCTTCTTGACAACGCCTTGTACCAACTGTATGACTTACAATACATGCAGCGTATTGTACTCTCTACAGCCCACTAACACACTGCTCCTTGGCAACTTTGACCACACACACACTGACCAAGCTTGTCAACCTTGGCTCTGCATGCACACCTTGCCAGTACACAAGTCTCCAGTGTGCGCATGTCGACACTACATGGGTGCCATACTGTGTGACTGATCCACCACTACGTGGGGTGCCATACTGTGTGACTGAACCACCACTACGTGGGTGCCATACTGACGTTACCACCATGACTGGGCAGGTCCTGGGAAGCGGATGGTTCCGGTGGCGACCAACGACACGTCGGATGGGGATGTGATGGCGGCCTTTACACCCCTCGAGGTCGGGGAGTACCTCGTCGACGTCCGTGTGGGTGACGCCAGGGTCCCCAACAGCCCTTTCAGGTAAGACGCCGCCGCGGGTTCACCTGCGGTCGTGCTAGGAACCTCAGGTGTTATATGAAGGTCATTCAGGGTTCGTGCACCTTGCTACGGCAAGTGTCATTCACGAAGGCAAGAGTGTCACGGGGGAAAACCCGGGCCTTGTGTGCCTCTCCAATAGCTCCAGGACTATTGTCTTCAATAGTTCCTCCAGTATACTGCAGGAGAAAGTGTTATCCGTAGTTGAGGTTTCCGTGATTTAGTTGCCCTGATTCTGACTTGTCTACCAAAACACTTGCCTCGCCACCCCCATGTTCCCAGCCGACTGACGGCCAGCGATTGTCTTGTGCTCGTGTCCGTGAGAGAGTGGTGGGGGTGCTGGGAAAATGGTGGGTAGTGTAACGGGAGTCGGGTCGTGAAGAGCCCTCACCCACGGGTGGTTGTTAATGTCTTCAGTTCCAGGTCAACGACAATTCATATGGGTGCAGTAAGATTATGGTGTCCAGCAATAGCTGGAGGCGTCCAACAATAGCTGGAGGCGTCCGATAACAGCTCGAGGCGTCCGACAATAGCTCGAGGCGTCCAGCAATATTTAGCCTTTTAATAACTGTTAATAAAACTGTTTATCTGAAGGATGTGCCTTGTATTTACTTCATGATGCAATTTTATGAAATTTATCTCTGAGAATATTTTAGTGTGTGTGTGTGTGTTTCGATAGGCGTTATGTGCACAGTGAACCATTGAGTATTTGTGTGTCGGCAGGTGCTACGTGTACAACTCCCAGGAGATCCGCGTCGGGGCCATCCCCAACGGCATCGTGGGTAGACCCGTCGAGTTCGAGAGTAAGTCTTTTGAGAACTTTTGTCCATGCACTTGACTGATACTGCTATGTGCTGTGAATGGGGTTTATCAGTTGGGTATGGGGTTTATCAGTTTCATGCTGGACATTATCTTGTCCAGCATGAAATACAGAACGTCATTGAACAAATCCACAAGGGCCGTGACGAGGATTCGAACCTGCGTCCGAGAGCATCCCTGACACAGCCTTAATCGACTGAGCTACGACAGGGTTAAATTCGAAGAGGGAGAACGGCTTATTGACATAGCTAGAGTGCAGGGGGGAGTTGTGTAAAACCCTGGTTTGTGCCTCTGAGAGGCTGCGGGATCCAGTAAGTTTAGTAGAACTTCGGTTTCAACTCTTTTTAATCCTGTCGTAGCTCAGTCGATTAAGGCAGTGTCTGGGATGCTCCCGGACGCAGGTTCGAATCCTCGACACGGCCCTTGTGGATTTGTTCTTTGAATTATCACGTTAGTGTGATTTCTGTGTGCAGTGTCAGAACGTCATTGTAAACTCGATTTGTAATTCTACGTCTCTTGTCCGATTCTTGCTCGTAGTCGATGGATCATCAGCTGGGTCGGGCAACCTGGAGATTCTGGTTAATGGTGGCCACGTGACCTCGTACGTCAGGAACCTGGGCCAGCAGAGGTTCCTGGCCTCCTTCGTCCCGCACTCCGCCATCCGTCACACCGTCGAGATGCGCTTCAACGGGGAGAAGGTCCCTGGTGAGTGTTGCATCCCTCTTGTGTTGGGGCAAATACTTTAACGGGTGACTGTTTCATCCACCTTGTGTTGAAGGAGCGTCGGGACCGCTCCAAAACAGTTGCTATGCTGCACAGAAAATGCCATACTTACCAAATTGTGTATTTTTATTGTTGACCAGACCACACACTAGAGACTGAAGGGACGACGACGACGTTTCGGTCCGTCCTGGACCATTCTCAAGTCGATTGTGACTAGAGGACACCATATGTCGTCCTCGTCTCCTACTCATATATGGACGTCACTCGCAACATTACAGTTTTCATGTTTTTCTCATAAAGTGTCTTGGTGGCCACGCAATTGCTTGCCAAGGTTATACATTAATTATGCAACAAGAAGAGGATGATGATTCCAAGCACCAAGCCCACTCAGTACGAGCCTAAGAACATTATACCATTCATGCAAACCATTTGCTAGTGATTAAGGTGAATGTATGTGAAACATCCGATAGCCTGTGTTGATATTATGCTATCTGGTGAAAAATGCCTTACCCCCGGCGTAAGATTACATCAAGACGTTAGTGCGGGAACCCGTTGTGGCTGCCAGCTGTTTGATGCCAGGAATGTGCCGCGTATCCTCCACCGCTTCCCCGCTTTCTTCTAACATCCCGGCCTGCTTCCCGCTTTCTTCTAACATCCCGGCCTGCTTCCCGCTAACATCCCGGCCTGCTTCCCGCTAACATCCCGGCCTGCTTCCCGCTAACATCCCGGCCTGATTCCCGCTAACAACCCGGCCCACCCACACCACCATGCCTGCCTCCACCACACCCACACCACCAAGCCTGCCTCCACCACACCTGCCTCCACCACACTGGCAGGCCTGGCTTCCCTACACGTTCTCCCCGCTCTTGTAGTCATGTCTATTAATTGTTTCCAACATTTTTCTCGACGATGTGCTTGGACTGTGTTTATGGCTTGACCGAGACGAGTTGTTGTGGTTGGCACGGGCGCAGAGACCAGCCAGGTGCCGAGTCAAGAGAGATGCAGCAGGAAATACAGCTGCACAAGGAGAAAACATGTGTCTTGAGCAATTAATGTTTATATATTGCAGCGTGTGGCAGCTGTTGCCCCCCCCACCTCATCAGTGGTACCAAGGAAGCAAAAACGGAATGTATCTTAGAAGTTTATAAGCGTATTTTGTTATATATACATCGTATTTATATAGAAAGAGGGGGAAATCGTATTGGATAAACAGCTGGTGGGAAGGTTTGGTGGTTGATAGAGGCATGAGAGTAAAGGTTAAGAAAGGTAAGATGGGTGTAGGAGAGGCAGCAAGGGGAAGAGGGCAAGGGGGAGAAGGCATGGGGAAGGGGGGGGCAAGGGGGAAGGGGGAGGTCCTGGCCTACTTGCGGCTGGAGGCGGCGGGGCGCTAGTGACTGAGCCGCCTCCACCACGCTCACTACTCTCGCAGCGTCCAAGTCTCCCGCTAACTCCTCTGACTCTCGTATCAATATTGCGTTCTCGTTGGTGTTGTGACTGTATGAAACTGTTGGTGTAAAATGGTGGTTGATAAGTGGTGAAAGTTTGCTGGTGTGAAGTGCGTCAAGGGGGCCACCTCGGACCTGGGATATATATATATATATATATATCTACGCGCCTGCATTCCTCAGACGGTAGGACCTACTTGCTCAGAAAGTTTTCTTGTCTTCGACTCCTCCTCCTCCTTCTCCTGGGCGTGCTCACTCCTGGCTGGTTGTGCGTGGTGGTGGTGGAAGTTTGGTGGTGGTGGTAGTGCCGTGGTGGTGGTGGTAGTGTGGTGGTGTTAAGATACTGACTGTTAAGTTGGTGGTAATATGGTAGCACTTCCTGGTGTGAGGAATGGCAGTTGTTTGACCCTTGTCCCGCTTCTCTCATCCTCACACACCCCACCACACCTCCCTCACACTCCACCACACCTCCCTCACACCCTACCACACCTCTCCACCACACCTCCCTCACACCACACAGACTATGGAAGGGTTGAACTAGACATCCATTCGTGGCTTTTTAACGCTCAAGGGAAGTTTTTTTTCATTTTTTTTTTATCTTGGATCATTTATAAATGATACAAGAGCTGAGTAGAGGTAGTGACTGATGTGGGGAGGCGCGGCCCTGGGGCTTGAAGGTAGATGGTGTCGGGGGTAGAAGTAGGAGGGGTGTGACCTGGTGCATGAAGGTAGAAGTAGAGGAGTGTGACTTGGAGCATGAAGGTAGAGGGTGTGTGTGGGGGTAGAAGTAGTGGAGTGTGACCTGGAGCATGAGGGTAGATGGTGTGGGGGTAGAAATAGTGGAGTGTGACCTACACTGTGGCGTCACACCGTCCTGGTACTCGCCTCACTCACTACTGGAAAGTGAAGTCTAACTCTTTATGCCCCCTTTAATACCCTTATTGTACCTGTTGTGGCGTTATAATTGAACTATTTTCACCTACGAATTCTTTGGCGAATTTGGCCTTAACGTTGTGGATGGAGGTGGCTTCCACAGCTTCCCGGGCATTGCTCTTGTTGACTCCTCACACACGGTGGTGGGAGTATTTCCTAACATTTCTTTTACTCATTTCCGTTTTCCAGCTTCCACTTGTGTACTCTCGTCCTGTTATCTCTCACTATAAGGACGCTGCCCATGCCCACCTTGTCAGTTCCCTTCAGTATTTTGTATGTTGCGATCAAGTCCCCTGTTTCTCGACGGATATGAGGTCTAGTTTTTCTTAATCTATCCTGACAGCTTGGCGCTCTTAGCCGTGGCATTAATTTTGGTGCAAACGTTTGTACTTCAATTTCGTTTTATGCTTCACGAAAATGCGGATTTCGGGCCGATACTGCAAATTCCAGGATTGGTCTAACGAAAGCTGTGTAAATTGCCTTGGAAGGGGTCCTGATTTAGTATTTTTTTGTTAAGATGTTTGCCAGCGTTCCCATGTACTGGCGATGTACTAGAGTGTGTGTACACCTCGGGTGTTAATGTTGGAATAATACCCACTCTTAACCCTCTCTCTTTTGGTCTCGAGTTTTGGACGAGTCTTGGTCTCTTTTCTCCCTTTCTCATCTTCATTAACTTACACTTGTTTGGTTTGAATTCTACCAACCATGTGTTGCTCCATGTCACATGAGTGAACTGGGGCGCAAAGTGTGTACTCACCTAGTTGTGTTTGCGGGGGTTGAGCTCTGGCTCTTTGGTCCCGCCTCTCAACCGTCAATCAACAGAGTTGATTGACGTGTGTGTGATTGATGTGACTGTGTGTGTGTGTGGGGGGGGGGGGAGGGTGTTGGTGACAACATAGCGGGAGGCTTGTCATGCAAGTAGTCAAGGTGGTGGTTGTCATCACCCCAGCGGCGGCGCAACAAGGTTAATATGTGGGTGTTGTGTACAGTTGTGGTCCTGTGTACAGTTGTGGTCCTGTGTACAGTTGTGGTCCTGTGTACAGTTGTGGTCCTGTGTACAGTTGTGGCCCTGTGTACAGTTGTGGCCCTGTGTACAGTTGTGGCCCTGTGTACAGTTGTGGCCCTGTGTACAGTTGTGGCCCTGTGTACAGTTGTGGCCCTGTGTACAGTTGTGGCCCTGTGTACAGTTGTGGTCCTGTGTACAGTTGTGGCCCTGTGTACAGTTGTGGTCCTGTGTACAGTTGTGGCCCTGTGTACAGTTGTGGTCCTGTGTACAGTTGTGGTCCTGTGTACAGTTGTGGCCCTGTGTACAGTTGTGGTCCTGTGTACAGTTGTGGTCCTGTGTACAGTTGTGGTCCTGTGTACAGTTGTGGTCCTGTGTACAGTTGTGGTCCTGTGTACAGTTGTGGTCCTGTGTACAGTTGTGGTCCTGTGTACAGTTGTGGCTCTGTGTACAGTTGTGGCTCTGTGTACAGTTGTGGTCCTGTGTACAGTTGTAGTCCTGTGTACAGTTGTGGTCCTGTGTACAGTTGTGGTCCTGTGTACAGTTGTGGTCCTGTGTACAGTTGTGGTCCTGTGTACAGTTGTGGCTCTGTGTACAGTTGTGGCTCTGTGTACAGTTGTGGCCCCTGTGTACAGTTGTAGTCCTGTGTACAGTTGTCCTGTGTACAGTTCCCCCAGCATTGTTCCTTTTGTTGTTTATTATAAGTTCCATATAGTTTTACCAAATTAAGGCAGGGAAGTTCTGTTTTTTCCCCCCAGAGTCTCTAACTTAACCTCCCCCACATCAGCCTCTCTTGGCCCCTCCCCCTCTCTCCTTCTGTCTCCCCCTCCCTCTGCCTCTCCCTCTCTCTCTACAACATCCTCTCCCTTCCTCTGCCTCTCCCTCCTCCTCCTCTGCCTCTCCCTCCTCCTCTGCCTCTCCCTCCTCCTCCTCTGCAACATCCTCTCCCTTCCTCTGCCTCTCCCTCCTCTACCTCTCCCTCTCTCTGCTCTTGAAATGTCCGCTGTGTTCCAGCCGACAGTGATTATTCTCGCGAACAAAATTGACTGTCCTCTACCCTAGTCTTCAGGTATTATAACATGTTTTGTGTTATCATTCTTCACTGTCATAAGTGTAACTCACAGTAATTACCTGGTTACTGCATTCACACGCGGTTACGACCGGGGGGGAAATTTCCTGCCAATTACACACAAAAAACAGCATTGTGTGATTATGACGTTACCCACTTTTTGTCCCTGGTAGTGTTATTTTCTGATGGCTTATGTCTCCAAAGTGTAGAAAATGGCTTTTTTCCGCCCATAAACTTTCTGAATTTAACTTTAAACTTTCTCCACAATCGACTTGAGAATGTTCCAGGACGGACCGAAACGTCGTCGTCCCTTCATTTTCTAGTGTGGTCTGGTCCCCATAAACTTTGCTTTGACCTGTGTCTCAGACAGCTTAGGGAAGACTGTCTTACAGGTTCCTGAAGGCTGGCGACTTGTGGGACAAAGTGTCAAGGCTCTTAGATACGAGTCGGCAGGCTTCAAGTTCCTTCGAGACGTCTTCCCGGAGCTGTCTGAGGCATAGATCAAATCAAAGTGTGGAGGCATAAGAATTTA